CTCTAGGCAAAGAAGCGAGCTCAAATTCTGGGGAATTTGAGAGTGGGCTCTAGATTTAGTGCTATGCTAGATTCGTGTCCTGGTTTTGCCACCTGCAACAGTATGACATTGGGCAACCTCATCCCTCAGCCTCTGTCTCCAGTAAAGCTTCCTACCTTGCAGGGTCGGCTCCTCGCTGAGAGTCTTCCTGGGATTGTCTGGCGCTTTTGAGCACCTCTCCCAACAGCTCAGGACCCAGCTCCTTGTCCTGCTCCCAGGCTGACACTTGCCTTCTGCTTTCCGGTCTCCAGAATGGGGCGGGTGTCCTCACTCCCGTTTTCCGTGTCCTTCTGAGTTTATGCTTTCTTAACAAAATCCCTCTTCTGCTTGTTTAGTGCTACCTTCATAGAGGCACAGAGGTAAATTCATGCAATCAATTTGCCATCTTTAACCAGGAGTCATCTTTACATTTGTAAAGGAACATTCTTTAACTATATTTCTTGTTATCATAACAAGTGTCTTTTGAAATTTCCCTGTAAAAGAATAAATTTACTTCACTCATGTGTGGAATCTAATGAACAAACTGAACTAACAAGAAAAACAGAGACAGACTCATAGACAGCAGGGTGACCGCCCTCGGAGGTAGGTAGTTGGAGGTGGAGGGATGGAGCAAAAAGGAAAAAGGGCTTATGGACTCGGACAACAGGGTGGTGATTGCTGGGGGGAGGGGGATAAGTGGAAGTGGAAGAGGGTATAGGAAGGATAAATAGTAATGGGAAAAATACAATAAAAAATAAACTATTAATAAATGTAATGCTTCCCTCATCATTCCTGTTTTCATTAATATAATCTGAGAATTACATATTTCATACTAAACTATCCCTTAAGAACAATAGCATTTAATTTGACAGTGAAATGTAAGGCAGTTATTTGTGTTGCTAACCATAGTCCTTTTATTCTAAAATTATACTTTTTAAATTGTTAATTTTTATTTGTATCTCAGTGGATTGTAATTGGCTTAGGCAATTTTTTTTAGGAAAGGCTAATGAGTAATGTATTTTCAGAGTTTTTAAATATTCCTATTTTTCATATTCCTTTACAAGTGAAAGGCAGTTTGGTTGGCAATATCTTTCTTCGATTGTGTCTTCTCTTTTTCTGCAATTTAGTAATACACAGGAGAAATGTAAGACCAACTGGACACTTGTTCCTTTAATAATAACTTATTTTCATTTGGTTTGTGTGTTAACTTGTTTTTATGTCTGAATACTGAAGGACCTTTTTTTAAATTTTAACTCTAGGACTCAAATTTTTTGTCTAGGATTGTGGCTTTGAATTGATTGGCATAAAACTTAGTCCTTTTTTTCGGTTTAGTTTTTTAAAATTGTGCCTGTGATCATTACTTCTATTTCAATTCTTTACTTGTGTTTTCTCAGAAACAACTATAATTAGACTTGGTTTTCCCCACCCCCCAGATCCAGGGTATTCTTTCACCATTGGTTCTTTTCTCCAGCCTTATGTGGGTGTTTATCTTCGGCATCAGTGATTTAATTTTACACAGTATGTATCTACTTCCTGCCATCCTTGTGGGTAATAATTCTGTCACTTCACTTTTAACTTCTTTATTTCACCTATACCATCTTTTTATCTTACCCAATAGCCTTTTATTGATTTACGGTTTTCTAATTTTGATTTTCAGGGACATATATTCTTATATCATATTAACAATGCCAAATATTTTTTTAAAATTCACTTCTGATTCCTTTAGGAAGTCACTTTTAGGAGACAGTTCTTCCTTTGAATCTTTAGCATGCTTGTTTTTTTACATACTTAAATGCAGTACTTCTTACTAGACCTATGTCGATATTTAGCAGTTATTTTCATTATCCCTGAATTTGGGAATAATCCATCTAGACCTGCTCACAGAAAGGGTGCCTGGGTTGCTCTTGGCCCCATTCTCTGTCCTCTGTTTGCCAGTAAAAGTCCTCTTTAGGTCTTAGAGCAGGTTATAAGCCCTGCTGCATTCTCAACGGTCTAAAGGAGTAGCAGCTATCTGCAATGTCTTGTTTTTTGTTACTCGGCATATAGATTATATAAGAACCCAATACTCAGAATGCAATGCCACCATATCATCTTGTCTCTAAATCTGCTTTTCTGCGACTGAACCTCCTAGAGCATTTCCCTTTCTTCCGACTCATTGTTCGAAAGTCACAGTCACTAATTGATGGGGTGGGGAGATTCTCCTACTGCCTCAAAAAGTATCATGACAGAGAGCTGGCTGGGTTTCTGAATGATACAGATATTTGTATTTCTGTGTACAATGGCAGAAAGTGGAGAAAGGAAGATATACAAAGATTTGCTTACTTACCTCAAGACCCATAGCTTGTTTCTTGTTGCCTTTTATTACATTTTAAAAATCTAGTTTATTCTTTTTTCTCCTGCTGCAAATTTTTTCTCTGATTCTTGGAATAGGTTGGAGGTCAGCCCCTCCTTTTTGTGGTTGCACACACCTTTATTTACCTCTTTTCATAGATACCTTTGTGGGAGGTTGGGAGAGGCTTTATCAGGGGCTGGTATTTAAAACTTGAACTTATATGAAACTACACAAATTTTAAAAAGTACTTTCTGCATGTGGCAAAATGCTTGAAAATTTTGCTTTCTGCAAATATTTTATGGAAATAAACTCTTCTGTGTAATTATTCATCACAAGTTGTTATTCAAATGATGGAGGCATCTGTTTTTCTGCAATAGAACCTATGTCTTATGAAAACTCAGTCATTTTTGTAATGAAATAAAAATGTAGATACATAAGTTATTGTAAGAATTCCAGTGACTTCCATAAAATTTTTATTTTACATAAAAACTGCCTGATCACTGCCTATTAATGAAAGTCTTAGAGCTAAAGCAACTGTTATAAATTACTTACGGTGCAAATTCAGTTGCTTTCAGCAGCCGGAAAAGTGACCTGCAAATTCATGAAGTAGGTTGGATTAATATAATAGGGATAGACAGGGACTAGAGAGAAATGGAGGTTATTTGTGCTATCCAATCCTTGAGCCACCAGTATTATATCAAAAGCAGTATAATATAAACCTACTCTCCCATTACAGAGATGAAACTGAAGTCAAGCGATACTAATAGATCTGTCCAATGTTTGGAGAATCTATGTGTCTGAACCAGAACCAGTTACATAATTTGCAGGGCTCAGTGCAAAATAAAATGGAGCCCCTTGTTCAACAATGATTAAGAATTTCTAGATAGTGGGAACAAAGCATTAAACCAAACATGACACCCTATGTGACTTGCACAAATTACATGCCTTTGAAACCATCCCTGGTCTTGGCTTCTGCCCTAGAATTTGTGCACCCAAACAGAAAGAAGCACACACTCTCACCTGCAATCAGCAAAAAGCTTATAATGGAGAGAGATGGGGTTAAATTAAGTCCTTCTCTGCCTGACTTATTTCACTAGATCCATCCATGTTGTTGCAAACAACAATTCATTCTTCTCTATTGTTGTACAGTATTCTATTTTGTATTGTATGTGTGTGTATACCAAGATATATGTAACATCATCTAGTGATTGTATACCTGCAACTAATATAACCAGTATAAGATTGCGTACTAACTATACTTAAAAAACTAAAAAAAAAGCCAAAATTAGGTCCTTGATTTTGATTCTTCACTAGCTAAGTGAACCACCTTCACTTACAAGAGAGCTTTTGTATGAGGTTTTAGAATCAATGCTTCTCTACATTGTTTGGAAGCTTTTGTTGAATAATTACTGCTTCCATTAGTTTCTATTGTTTCTAACTGCATTCAGGTTTTATGAATTATTAGTTGAAGATTTCCAACCTGAGGTTTTAAGCTCTTCTCTAAATGTTAGTTCTGACTTTAATTTCAGAATGTTTGGTGAGTCACTCAACACAGGCACAAAACTCTCAGGGACATTTGTGTCTGCTGTTGGGTCTTACTCTGTCTCTTACTTGAATGTAGCTGTCATTTCTTCCAGGAAATTTTGTCTATAACTTGAATAATATCCTAAAATAATCCTTTTCTCGCCATATTTGAAATTTTTACCTGGCTTACAAACACAAAAAGCCATTTGCTTCCTGACAAATTGAAGCTAACTGATCACTTCCTCCTTTGAGTTAATTTACAACTTATAACTCACAGTACCTTTAACACCATTAATAACATAACCTGAGAAATGCTATTTAGTGAAATCTAGCCAGGTTTTAAGGGCACAGCTATTCACACTCAGAAAACATAAGAACTAAAATTGGGAATTGAGTACTAGGATAAGACTGCTTTTGTAGTATCTAACGATCCAATTTATATGAAGTCTATACAAATAAAGTCATATTCTGAAAGACTTAAACATTGAAATGAATCATTTACAATGGAAGGAGAACTTAAAATTTTTTCCTCATTAAAAAAGGAAAGTCTACCAGCTAGATCTACAGTTTTGAATGGTGTAAGATTGTCATTAAGTTATACCTTAGATGGATGATTTAGACTTCAGATGGATTCCTTTATTTAGTAATATCCACAGGATGGTGATAAATATCTGTAAAAGACAAATGAAGAAAAATACCTTGCCTAATTTAAAAATATTAGGGTTTTTATTTTTAAAACAAATATGAACATCAGTTAAGTAAAGTTAATATCTGAATCAGACAGATTTCAAAACCATCTTATATATCTTTATATTGTTGAAATACACCCTTCACAAATGATTAACAAGAGGAAATTCACATTTTGGGGAAAGAGAAGATGAGCAAATTGGCAAATACATGAATTAAGTGAAAGGAAATTTAAGTTGTGAATATAATTACTAATATTTAAAATATTTTCAGTAAGCCATGCACATGAGTATATGTGTTCAGCTAGCACTGAAATTGTTCATTAAATTTAATCTCAGGTTGGGGGACAAATTTAATAGACTTTTTCACTCACATATTTCAGAATATGCAATAAAGTATATAAGCTGAATGTCATGGAATTTTTTTTAACCTTCTACAGGTGGAGATTTTCATTTTACCTTTATGTATTTACCTATGGAGTCCGGTTCCTGAAAAAGGTATGATCTGTCAAGTTACTTCATATAATTCTTATGTAACTGTAAGGTTAAATCTTTTATTCTTGTGTAACAGTAGTAATATTTTAAACAGTCATAAAAGGCTCCTTAAGAATTAGTCATGCATTCTTTGACTTACAAAAATATATGCAGTTTATCCTTTATAGTAAGTAACTTTTAGTCAGATACCTAAAATATTTTTCAAAATAATTTGTTTTTCCAGTGAAAGATGTTGCTACATCCTCTGACCACTCTAGTTAGTTATTTATTACTTGTGGGCTTAGGAGCCTTAAAAAAAATCCATCAGAAGCTTTGAAAGAAGTTAGCTTCCATATCATACAACTTGAAAAAATCCATTGTAATATATGTTATCATTGTAGTCTTCACTGGTAGAATTATGTTTTAGTGTCTTCATTGTTATTAAGAGGGTAACAGAAACTGCTGGTAGAAAATTCAGTTCCTTTTGTAGACTGTGTTTCCCCTGCTGCTTTGCAATTCCTGCATGAACTGAGTGAGGCACCTTTATCTATGAAACCAATTCTCTGAGGCTGCCATAGTCTTCTTGGCTATTTCAAGGCTTAACGTCACTACTAACGATTAGGCTGCTTAAAGTCAAAACTCATAAAGACTTATCTTCTCATAGTCATGCACATATTAACAATAGTGATTTATTTGCAGAACATGGAAAATTATTTCTAAAAATATTTAATATTTTTAACCTTTACTGTTATATCCATTTTATCTTTATTTTGTTCAGAAAATTTTTCCAAAATAGGGCATTGTGCCAAGTGGCATGCCTTTACCAGTAAATTTTCATGTAAATATTGATGTGAAAATTGCAAATACATTTTTATTTTTAATGTCTGAGTTATAAAATATTGTCTGCCTGTGGCAAATTCTATTATAAAGAGCTGCTGTTTCCCAATATCATGTTTTCTTAAAGGAAACATTCTTTTTATTCATCTTCTCCTTTGGTAACTACACTTAATTTTCACTTAATAACAGCACATGCCCCAGAGGCCATTTGAATAGATTGAAAAGGATGAACTTCATTCTGTGGGCTTTTCAAGCATGAAAAAATTCTCAACTTGGGTAAATGAATGTGAAGGAAACTGCTTATTTTGGAACCATTCTGTTCTAGTTTTCAAGCTTTCTAACTTAGGGAAAATATGGAAAGAATGGCTATAGAGCTTTTATACTTACAGCTTTATTACCTTGGGAGAGGAAATAGCTTTGCATGAAATTTTGGCTGACATGGCAGAACTGTGCATCATGGGAATGCCAACTTGCTCACTGAGGTCGAGGTTTGGAATTCATGTTGGGTTCTGTTGGTCAAGGCTTTGATGATGAGCAAGGAAAGCTAGTAAGAGCCAGGAGCACTTTTTTGCCCTTTCCTGTAGATCTGCAGGATATGGTCTATCATAGCTCTCACACAGCCAGCCTGGCCATCTGTCATCAGAACAGGAAACACTTTGACACTTAGTTCTGCTTCACTCTGTCCCAAAACAAACTGAATGGAAAAAGAATACTTTTAATCCTCAAGTCCTGAGTGGCTCTGTAGAAGGCTGTAGGAGGGTCTGTCAATAGAATATTTGTTTCAAAAGTGGTTTTGTTTAAACTATAACAGTTCCCTTTTAAATTGTCCCTAGTTATAATGCGTGCTTCAAAGTGAAAAAAGAACTAGATACTGTTCTTCATGTTGAATTATTTGTGTCTGGGGTTTCTTCCTTTACTACTAAGATGCAGTCAGTTGTGGATGAATGATGTTATTAGTCTAGCCATGTGTGATAGAAAAATGCACGTAGAATCCATGTGACCGAACTAGCTAGGGAAGACTTCATAAGCCATCTTGTCCGACCCTCTTATTTCGCAGCTCAGGAAGCAGAAACCCTGAGAGGGTAGGTAGCATTCCAAAGGTCACACAGTTCATTCGTTAAAGACTGAAACTGAAATAGAACACACTGCTGTCTCCTACTCTAGTGTTTTCTCCACTTCACCCATCTGCTCTAACCGTAGCATGATTTCCAAATGACTTCCTTCTTTCATTAAGTTAGCAAAATTTATCTATTGTAGTCATTGTATTATAGAACTTTAAATGTTTACCTTCATAGAGATTGAAAATATATTTCTATTAAATTTCTTGGAGTGGGCAATATATTTGTCCATCTGACCTAAGGGGGGAAAATTATTATGGAGACAGCAGCAGAAATAATCAAAAGAAGGTAATTCAAATTTTCACAATACCCTAAATGTTTTAAAATAAAATGCAAGGGTGGTGGACCACAACTGTTAAGAGGTGAGAGGCCACAACTGTTTCTTACTTCTGGCATCAAAAATCAGAATTATTACATGGACTGTTAGAAAAATGACTGGGCAGCTTGCACTGTCTAATTTCTTCTGCTACAAGATCAAATGAACTTAATACATCTCATCTTCTGGGATGAATTAAGTAACGTTAAGAACCCTTTCGACCATGAAATTCTTTGATTCAGTTAAAAGATATTTATTAAATGTAAAGCACCATGAACCTACAATAATGGATAGAAAATCTTAAAAAGTAAATGCAAACAAATAAATTTTGAAAACCATAGATCTTTAAATGTAAAAGTTATACATTAATCTAAACACCTTGTTTTATATATGAGACTAGGAGGCATCAATCTCTGGTGTAAGAATAGCTTCGGTTGTCTCTGCCATGTTGAAATACAAGGGGGACCCCCCAAAAAACAGAACTATCATCTGGAGGGCAGGCCCCTTGTACTGCAGGCTTCCCCTGTTAGGTGAGTGATCTAGGAACCGATCTCTATCAGTGTACCAGCCAGCATTCTTGTAAGAGGCTGCATTTGGCTTCGGTGAATTTTTTTTGAAGACTCAACAAGTTTGCTTGTTTTATGATGGGTGATTTATGAGCGCACCTGCCCACACTATGCTGTTCAGCAGTTTTTGATCAAAAATGGCATGAGCCCCATGCCCCATCCTCCCTGTTCACCCAATCTTTCCCCGAGTGACTTTTTTTTGTTTCCTCAATGAAAAAAAGTCGTCAAAGGAAAACATCTTGCCAATGTGGAAGAGGTGAAACAAAAAAACAGCGGAAGCTCTAAAATACATCAAAATGGAAGTGTTCAAAAACTGTTGAGTAGTGGAAGAAAAGTCTCAGTAGGTGTATTGCATCAAATGGAGAGTACTTTGAAGGTGACTGAAGTTTAAATATGTAAGAATAAACACAATTTTTAATAAATAAATTGTGTTTTGGGGGGGATCCCCCCCTTGTACATTCAGGTTGAATACTGAAGTTTTATGAAATGCTGTTAACTTTTTCAGTTTGAATTGTCTTAACCCTATAGGGAGAAGAAAAAACCATATATATATATATAGATATATATATATATATCGATATATATATCTGGGTTTTAAGTAGAGTTTCAAAATGTAACTATGGCTGATCTATGTGCCCTCAGTTTAAAAATATTTTTTGTATTTAGGAACAAGGCAGTTAAGAGTTTTTAAATACATGTAAAGCAGGTTAAGTCAGTAAATATTTGTACTGCCTTAGTTTTGGACCTCTGAGAAGGAGAGACCAAAAAGAGGTTAAATGTTAAGAAGTTGATTCCGGGAAATGCCTGTGAGGGGAAATGGGAGGGAGTCCGAGGGAGGCTGGAGGAGCCTTCACACAATTTTCAGACACCCTGTAAAGTGTGTATATTTATGTGAATTCACAATGTAAGTCTGACCTTGAGTGCAGAAAAGAGGGAAGGAAGGGAACACAGTTGGGTGAAGCTCTAAGACTGCTGTGCCTCTCTGAGGGTAATTCAGTGGGGCTCTTAGGGAGTCCTGGAGCCACAGTTGATCATCAGGGGGGACCTATGTCTCCCAGAAATGGGCTTGCCTTTAGTATTCCCATGATTCTTAGTCATGGGCTTCAAGCAGACTATCCAGCTTGGCCTTCCTGCAAATATATACCTGTAGATTTTAAAACACAGCTGCTGGGCCCTGGGTCAATTACGATCCCCCTTGGCCAGGATTGAAGAGGCACATTTTTGTGGTTGCCATGTGTGCTTTATTTAAAAAGAAAAAAAAAATCCAGCTATTCTAAACAATGCCAAAGAATACATCATGGAATAAGAACCAACATAACAGAAATTATGTTTTCATATGCATACTGCCTAGAAGCATAGAGCACTATTCATCTATTGTATTTTTTTTTTCATTTGACTTATGTGTTCACTTAATCTTCATTATGTCATAGTTCTTCTAGTTGATGTGTGAATGAATCTTCGGAGCATTACTCAGGCTGACTTTCTGCACGAGTTGGGTGACCATACAATCTGTCTTAGGGTCAGTTCTCCTTTACACTCAAATTACCCAGCTTGGGTGATCAATTAAATGGTCATCTTTTGAATAGTTCTATAATAAATGATGAAATATTTGGCCCTATATTTTCAAATTTTCAGACACCCTGTAAAGTGTGTATATTTATGTGAATTCAGGAAAATGTTTTCTGTAGTTTTGTGATGACAGATAAAAGAATGAGCCTCGTTTATAATGATATGATAATGTTGTGGTGTGCTTATGTTATATGTTGCCTTTGTTTTCTTAGCTTAGAGCCCCCTTTATTGATAACACTAACTTTGATCATGGAAGTAGACTTTAGGATGCATTAACCTTAGATACATGTTAGTGAACTATTCAGTAAAGTTATTGCTATGCTAGTAGGAAATATTTAAATAGGTGAAGATAGCCTGGCTCACTAGTCTCTTCCTATAATTGCTGGACACCAGTGACTCTTTGCCTATTAATACGATTGGCAGAGACAAGAACTTTTATAAAAGAAGACATAGAATTACTTCAAGTCCTCTAAAATCTTACCACATAATGTACTCATACAAATCAATACACTTTCCTAGGTCCTAACAGAAACTACATATCAAGACTTTAAAGACAAAGCTATCTCTCATTTACTGTTACCTTTTTTCTCATTTGCAAATGGAAGTTTGTATTGGATG